ATAGCTCCCAAATGCTTTATACTGACTCCCAAGAGTGTGACAATGAATAGTCATGAGCAGCACCAGGATCAATGAATCCTGATTATATAACAGACCCTGGCCAGGCGGTGGGGAGACAGTGTAAGAGATATTTTAAAGAAATTTCTGAGATTCTTCATTTTACAAAAAGTTTCAATCCAGAGCATGTATAAATGAAGCAAATCAAAAATGATGATGTCAGAGCATCTATATTCCATAGACACTCTGTAGTTCACAAAGGTCACCGTCCATGTCACAGTAGCTTTATGGTTTAGATGTATCTTCCTACACCTAAAACATAGATTTCATTTATAGCAAAAAAATAATGGCAAACAGTAATTCAGGAGGAGGACTATAGCATAGAACAAACAAAGATGATTCAGGAAGAAAGAAGGTGCCTGCTTTTGGATCATCACTTTTCTATACAATCAAGTGGTCCCTCTAGCTTTGCTTGTATTGTAATAAGACCAGAGAATACCCATGAACAATAGGCCAATAATACCAGGCATCCATTAAAAAGAGATGATATAAAAGAGAGATATAAAAAGACTTTTTTATACAAAAAGTCTTAAAAAGTTCTCCCACATTAAGCATTAAGGAATTTTTAGAAAAATCTAGAGTATAGCCCATTGCTATCTTAAAAGGAATAAGGGATGCCTGGGTGGCTTAGCGGTTGAGTGTCTGCCTTCGGCTCAGGGCATGATCCCGGGGTCCAGGATCGAGTCCCGCATTGGGATCCTTACAGGGAGCCTGCTTCTCCCTCTGCCTATATCTCTGCCTCTCTCTCTCTGTGTGTCTCTCATGAATAAATAAATAAAATATTTTTTTAAAAAAGGGGGGATGTGTCAGTTTATGCTTATCTGTGTGCATTGGAGTTATGTCTCAAAGTAATGATCTGCAGGCTTTTGTAATGTATGTTTACCTCCTTCTGTCTTCCTCACTGGTACCCAAGGGCAGGGCTGGACAGTTGTTCTTTCTTCAGTGCACACCTAGGCAGGAACAAAGATTCAAAAACCCTCACTAGCAAAACTTCTTTTGGGCATATTTGCAGAACCAGTTTTTCCTCCCCCAGAGGCAAAATAAGACTGTGTGACTGTGGAAAGTAAGGAAAGAAAATGAGGGCAGGGGCAGGGGGAAGGTGGCCAGGAGCAAAAAGACAGGGAACACAAACGCTAACAAGGAATCACTGACGTGAGAGGGATGAGGAGAGACAGCCCGGAGACCAGGGAGAGGATGACCTCACATCACATGTGGTCTCCTTGGCAACTCTCAAAGTGAGGCCCATCTCAATTGGTCAGCAGTCCTGGGCACTTGTAAGCCTCACGAATAGAGGAGGGATGCACAGTCAGGACGGGCCAGATTACGCTGCAGTAACAAACATCACCCAACCTCAGTGGTTTAAATAACAAAAGTTAATTTTGCTCACACTCCATGCCCAGGTAGGGTTGGCTGTGGGCTGGCCCTGCAGCATCCCATCGTTGTATCAGGACCCAGGCTAACAGAGCAGCCATGAGAACACTGCCAGCCACCAAAGCAGAGGGAAATGGAAAATGCAGGAAATTGTGCACTGGCTCTTGAAGCCTCACCCTAGCAGTAGCGTTCGTCATTTCAACTCACATTTTATAGACCAAATCAAGTCCTGGGGTTACATCTAAACTCCAAGGGGACAGGGAACTCTACAATCTTACCGTGTGGTCAGAAGTAGAGCTAGAGGATAGTGAACAGTATGAATGATCACCACGGGGCACGCCTGGGTGGCTCGGTGGCTGAGCGCCTGCCTTTGGCTCAGGGTGCGATCTTGGGGTCCTGGGATCAAGTCCTGCATTGGGCTCCCTGCATGGAGCCTGCTTCTCCCTCTGCCTGTGTCTCTGCCTCTCTGTGCGTGTGTCTCTAATGAATAAATAAATAAAATATTAAAAAAAAAGAATGACCACCACAGTAGAGGACTCAGACTTCTGGTCTGGGGACAGAGATATGAAAAGAGAACTGCTTCCCCTCAACAGGTAGAATTGAACAGGTTGTGATTACTCTAACAAGCAAAGAAAGCAGCATGGACTCTACCATGGTTTATGTGCACGTGCAGAAGCTTTCTGGAAGTAAGCAAGGAAACTTTTTGCACTGGAAATGGGGAGTGTGGAGTAAGAAATGTTGCCTTTTTACTTATATCCTTTGTAGTGTGAAAATCTAACCATGACATTCATTTGTATGAATTGATTTATGAAACTCAGTTTCCACTATTCTAAGTATTCAGCACAAGACAGTGTAATTGGTCAAAAGGAAGTCCAAAGAATTGATTGCTTATAACTGGGAATAGCCAGGCTCTGACCCAAACAGAAACATCCAGATGTTGTTGGGTGGACCTAGGGTTAAAGAACACTGCCCTTCCCCCAGGAACCCAGCCAGCACCTGCCCCACACATTTCCTGGAATTTATTGCTTCTCTAGAAGAAACAGTGAGGACTCTGACCTGGTCCCCAAGACTCAGAACAGTTTTTTTCCAATCCAAAGGCCAGCATCATGACATTTACTATGTCATCTCTGATTATAGAAGATAAGTAACAATGGAAATCATGGTCTTGACTTGGAGCAAGGAAGTCCAATATACTAATTTCTTAATAAATCTCAGATTTCCATCAAGGATCACTTCCCACTACTATTCCGGGACCCAGGAGATGGGGTCTGGGGCAAAACAGGAGCTCAAGGAGGATGTCCTGGGAAATTGCAAAGAGCAGGAAGCTGTCCTCTCAGAGCCTGGCCTTGGGGACCCTTTGCACCATCACAAAAGGGCTGTGAGCCCAAAGGCAGTTGGTTATGGGAAGGATGAGAAGACTGAGTCACAAACTGAGACACAGCCTAACTGGAGGGCATGACCCAAGGCCAAGCCTGTGATGGTTCAGCTCCCCTCTCTGTTTCCCACCCCTAGGCATGCATCCACTGCCAGCTGGACGTGATTGCTCAAGGCTTGGGAGATGTCCCCCCTCCTTAGAGAACCTTCTCAGGATATGGTCTGGGAGCCCAGGGCAGACCAGGCATGATGGGGAAAAAAGTCATGCAAGCAAATCCTAAAAAATATAACTGTGATGCATTCCCTCATTGTTCAATGTGTACTGGGGGACAGCACAGATAAAGAGTTCACAGTTCAGAAGGGAGGTATAACAAAAAATAAATATTAGGTCTTTGTCCCCAGTTCCTTGCACACAGCTCCCAAAGCATTAGAATCTCTGGAGTGGGGATCCCTGGGTGGCGCAGCGCTTTGGTGCCTGCCTTTGGCCCAGGGCGCGATCCTGGAGACCTGGGATCGAGTCCCACATCGGGTTCCCGGTGCGTGGAGCCTGCTTGTGTCTCTGACTCTGTCTCTCTCTCTCTCTCTGTGACTATCATAAATAAAAAAAAAATTAGAATCTCTGGAGTGATGGTTGTCTTTTGTATGCTATTGAAGAGGACTAATGGATAGGGGCCTCAGACAGCTTCTAGATGGGGGCTGTTTTCCAGAAAATCCAAGACAGATGAACGGTTGAAACTTTCTGCCCTACCCCCACCTCTGACCTCTGGGCAGGGCCAAGGGGCTGGAGATTGAATTCAATCACCATGGCCAACGATTAATCCACCTACATAAATGGAACTTCCATAAAAACTTCTAAAGGACAGATTGCAGAGAGTTTCCAGGTTGAGTGGACACATCAAGGCGCCAGGAGGGTGACACAGCCAAAGGGAGCATAGCATGGAAGCTCCACACCCCTTCCGCTGTGCCTTCCCCCGTGCATCTCTTCCACTGGCCTGCTCCCCTGTTGTATCTTTCGTAATGAACTGGCAATAGCAAGTAAGGAAAGTGTTTTTCCAGAGTCCTGAGTCATTCTAGCAAGTGACTGACCATGGAGGGAGGGGCTGTCACCAAGCTGGGCAGAAGCGCAGGTGATCAAGGGACCCGATGTTGAGACCGATGTTCTGCACCTGGTGCCTGAGTCCTTTAGCTTTGGGGGCCTGTATTACCTCAGATAGTGCAGAACTGAACGGAATCACTGGACACCCGTTTGGTGTTGGGAAAAATGGAGAAGTGGTTGATGTGAGAACAAAACTTAACAGAAAGAGCTTGTGGGAGTCTCTTCCATATCCGGGCAGTAAAATGAAAGCCATACGTAGGTCTCTTGGCCCAGCTATGGGAGGGGAGGGGCTGAGCAGAGTCCCTGCCCCTCCTCTTTTGGATGCCCTCCCTTCCCTGAAGGACTCAGAAGCTGCACCCCCAGCCTTTCCAAGCGCTGCCGTCATCCTTCCTGTCCCGTATTTTCACCTGGGCAGCAAGATTTCTCTGCCCTCTTGCCTCTCTTTAGTCCTACAGCCACATTGGCCTGCTGAGGTCGGTTCTAACTTTTCATCCTTTCTTCTAGAATTTTGACTGTCCTCCCTTTCACCCAAAGCCAATAGAATCCCTCCCTCCCAGGGATCCATCTCTTGCTTCTTTCTCTGTTCAAGCTGGTTGGCAGCTTTAAATAGGAACTAAAGTAGCACGTCTTCCTGAGGAAGTTTTTTCAGACTTAGAGCTTTTCCATTTGCAAGAAACAAGAACTCACTCCAACTCACCTGAGCCAAAATTGGAAATTTATTACAAGGTATCAAGTTGTCCTAGACAATCAAAAAGCAGGTAGGGCAGTCAGGTGGCAGCTGGGCCCTGGAAGGACAGAGGCCAGAACTGGAAAGCAGCCAAGGATGGAGGCTGTCGCCTGCTCAGATCATTCCTCCAGCTCGTGGGGATCATATAATTTCTCAACACCATTTCATTATATATCTCCATTCCTCTCTCCACAGGCACTTTCTCTACTCTGCCCAGATTATGGAAGATGGTCCCACACAGATCCCAGAATTTACCTTTCTCAGGTCAGGCAACCATCAGAATTCTAACTCCAAAATCTCCAAGGAAGGGAACGTATTTCATGCTGCCCACCTGGAATATCAAATAGCTATACCCGGAGAGGCAGCCCTGCGATACCAGTGTGGCTATGAGATCCCCTTGCATTGGAGGAGCAGTTCTTAGAGAAAGGGGGATGCTTTCCTGGTTGGATACCCCCAAAACTTCGCGATAGCTGTATTTAGCATCCCAGTCGCTTATTGGAATTATGCGTAGTCAACCTACAGAAAAGCTGGCAAGACCACTTGCGTGGGGGTAGAGGTGTTGCAGCAAGGAGGGCAGTGCACACCTGTCCACTCCTTTAGTCAACGTTTTTAATGGCTGGAGCAACTTCCAGGAGCAGCTGGAGGTACATGGTGGCCATCTGCAACCACTTGGGCTGGCACTGGAAGTGGACAAGCAGAAAATAGACCGGGATGCCACTGAGCAGGAACAGGAAGATGTATAGGAACTCAATCTGGGGGTGGTCGATGATGGGTGCCAGCACCAGGTAGAGAGAAGCAAGGAGCATGATGACAGGGATGACGGTGGGGACCTGCCAAGGACACAGAGACCTGAATGATGGAGAGGTACTGGACATGGTGTATGGCCCCTGGGCTCTGTCCCTCCTGCCTGCCTGCCTGTTGTTTCCACCTGCCACCAGTTCCCCTCTTCCAGTCCCTGCCATCATAGCTTGGCTAGCCAGAAAAGCCACCTGCCAGGTTTCAGGGGGCCATCCAAGGAGCAGGAGCTTTGGGAACCAGCTTGACCTCCTCTGTGAGAGGAGATCCTTGTGAATCCTACTGTGTGTGAGCATCCTCTCAGCATGTGTCTCCTGCTATTCTCCCTCAGGGTCCTCCAGAGAAGTGAATCACCAATAAGCAGAATCGATGCCTTGTGATCCAGCTGTCCCTCACCCGCCAGGAAATACAGAAATTTTCTAGCAAATATGACAGTGGCCACCTCTTACATTCTTTCTCTAGGCCCCATAGGAGGCTGTGATCCAATAATCTGCCTCATGCAACAGTCTAGGGTTGAAAAAAGCCCAATGTTTATTCCAAAGTCTACCTTGTAAGGTCGAGGAAGATTCTTCTTCTTCATCCGCAAGTACAAGAGACAGCTAATGGTAGTTCCATAGGTGATCCAGCCAAGAAAGCTAAAAGGCAAAAAGAAGCCGCTCACTACCGGGCCCTGCCCGGGGTGGGCCTAGCAGATGCAAACCTGGGGCAGAAGTACAAGCCCATCAGGGGCCTTTCAGTCACCTGCAGGTGCCCTTGTCCATGCAGACTAAGGAAAGAAGATGGCAAGGCTGGAGTTCCAAGGACAAGAATGCCCTGGAGGGTATTCCTGCCTCCTTCATCTTCAGTCACAAAGTGACATGTACACAAGCCCAGACACCCACTTAGCTTCAGATCAGGCCTTCTTTGACTGTCCCTGGCTGAACAGAAGAGGACAGTTTTCAAAGGAAGGGAGGAGCATCTGCTTGTCCAGAAAAAAGAGTGATGGAATCTCAAGAAAGTCTGTGCTCTCCTCAGGGACCAGCGCATTCACAGCAGGTCCTCCTACCTTAAAGTTGGTGACAGGGTAGGCTGTTGAGCACCCAGACAATCCCCTGGCCTCTGCCTTCTCCAGTGTAGGTAGTGGAGTGACTGATTTAGGTCTGATGAAAGCTTCATCGACCTTGGAGTCAGGGTCCAGACCAGGCCATCTCTTGAGGTGGTCAAGACCAGGAGACATTGTGTTCTCATGGGGATGGATCATCCCAACATTCTCACTCATTCTCAGTCACATTCCCCAATCTCAGCCTAAAGAAACCCTGGGCTCACCGTGGGTTTGATTTTATTCTCACCATGTAATGATTTTATCCTTTCTCATGGGAAAAAGACAACAAGAAAAACCAGGTCTATTACTTAATGTTCTGAAGAAAGTCACATCAAGCACCACATATCCTGTTCCAGAAGATTAGTTATACTTATGACAACAAGGAAGAGAGCACACGATGCGTGAAAAATTACTCTGAGAACTCCCTCTGCACCCCGACACTCACTAGCCTGTTAGTATGAGGACATGCCCGCTGAACCTGCTTCAGATGAGGTCATAAAATTATGGCTGGATGGCACAATAGCCTATCATTTCTACCCCAGGGAAGGTAATAAAGGGGATCAGAACATCTCCCCACTTCAAGGCAATCACTGATTATACCTTCCCAACTTGCTTGTGGGTCTGCCTTGAGTTTGCTAGAGATATGCTGGGTCAGGGTCCTGAGCACAGATCGGACTACAAAGGGAAGATCACAGCACAGCCGAGGGCTACAAGTAGTGGTGAGTAAAACCCAAAGATGGATTTAACACGACCCCAGCGACAGAATAATGGAACAAGGTGGAATAAAACATGACAAAGATAACACAAGCCTTTTACTTGTCTGCCTCTTGGTCAAACATTTGTCTCATTGAATTTTTGGAAACAGGGCAAGAGAGGAGGGAGCTACATTTAATTTTGGAAATATAACTGGGAGAGAATGGCTGAAATGTGTGTGCATGTGCTGGAACCCCGAGCTCAGGCTTCTAGAAGAGTGCATGCACATATGCACGTATATATATAGGCATATATGTCATAATTACATGTAGGGGCTTCCAGAAGTGTGCACGCATGTGTTTATATACATACATGATTGTGCATGAATGTGCACACAGAGGGGACTTCTATATACATGTATGAGTGTATGTGAGTATGCACACCAAGGGGCCCTGAGATACCCACCATGGGAGGACAGTCTCACTTGCCTCAAGAAGTTCACGATGGTGCTGAAGTTTCCTGGGATGATCAGGACCAGAGCCACTGCGGCGGTAAACATCAGGGCCGGAGTTGGTGTGAGGCGATGCACATGAACCATAGACAGAAGTTGGGGCTGGGAGCAAAGCCGGGAGTCAGGCAGCCCTCCAAGGCAGCCACGGCAGGTATCGGCTCTGGAAAGCTCCCAGTCCTCCTCCCCCACCAAACTCTCTCTGGATACCAGCAGGCCCAACTTCATGGTCCCCAGTCTACACAGCTTCCTGATCTAGGCCTCACTTGGAGTGACACCAGGCCCGGGGTGCAGTGTGGGGGGCCTGTCTCTCCAAGGCAGCCAAGACCCAAATAGCTTAAGATGTGGGCTGGAGTGTAGAGAGCTGAAGCAGGGCCCTGGCCAGGTGGTTCATCTTCTTATTGGTCATCCCCAAGACAGGAAGAGGGACCAAGGGAGGGAAGACAGAAGAGTAGGGAGGAGAGGGGAGGACAGTTAGGGACGGAGCATGGAGTGGGATTGCGGGTTATTGTGGTAGATTGTATTATTACTCAGCAAATAGGCTCCATCTCCCACCTCTGTAGGGGAAAGAGTTCCTCATCCATTGACGCTGGGCTTGGCCAATGAAAGGTGAGCAGGAGTAACACAGCAGAGGCTCAAAATACGCTTTGGCTTGGTCTCTTGAACCCCTGCCACCTGCTCCAGGCAAAAATATGCTTTGGCCTGGGTCCCTGGTACAAGAACAGCCTCACAGTGCCAAACGAGAAAATCTAAACAACAACCCCAGCCTGAAGCAGAGCCACAGTGGCCCCAGGGACTGATGAGCAACATGAAATGTTTGCTGTCATAAGCCCCTGAGATCTGGGAGCTATCTTTTATTGAGCATCATTACTGCAAAAGCTACCAAAGGGACAGAGTCCCTGGGGGAATGGCCTGAGCGTACACATTGGCTCTGCTCCTGTGGCTCTGCCCTGCTGGCCCCACACCTCTGGAGTACACCAACAACTCCATCACCTACAGGCTCCACAGTGTGACCCAGTATGGTGATCTCCCAAAACCTGAAGTCAAAGGACTGGAATTGAGATCGGAGATGTGTGGGATGCTTTAATCCCATTCTTAGAGAGAAGAGGGCTATGTCCTGTAGGGGAAGTCCTGGGGGCGGGGTGGGGGGGGTTGCTAAGAACTAAGCTCAAGCAGGAGAAAGCTTAGCCTTTGCAGCCCTTCCAATGCCCTCCTGCAGCCCCACCACCTTGCCCGGCCCGGACCCCATCTCTCACCATGTGGCCTTCTCTTGCAGCCACATAGCACACACGGCTTCCACCGAAGAATGTCCCATTGGTAGAGCCAAGTGTCGAGAGGGTGACAGCCAAGGGTACTATCCAGGCCCAGTCCCCCAGCACCTGGTTCCTAGGACAGTAGAGGAATCAAGGGAAGAAACTCCAGCAGCAAACTGGAAGGCAACCACAAGGAAAAAGAGCAAGCAAAACCACTAGTGGCACGTTGAAACCCACACATGGCACTGTCCTTCCCCAACCTGGATTGTCTGCCCGGGGCCAGGGAACCCGTCACTTGACTCACTCACCCCCAGCTCACGGCCATAGCATCAGAGGAAAGGAGCTCATTGGGTGACAACACTAGCAGGTAACTGATGTTGACCAGGAGGTACAGGCTGGTGACCAGAGGGATGGCGATCATCAGCGCCCACACCAGGTTTTGCTGCAGAGAGCCGGGAGAAAGGCCACATGTTAGCTGATGAGTTCCTTCTCAGGCCCCCAGAACGAGCTGGTCAGTGCAGTGCTGAGCTCATCCTGGCCACAGGGAACATGCCAGGCCCTGGGGACCACTCGGGCTGTGTGCTCACAGTCCCATGCCATGGACGCACAAACAGCGGGTATGCTAGGAGGCCATGAGGGACACTAGGCAGTCACAGCAGTGGAGGGACACAGGAGCTGTGCCCAAAACTTCCAGAATGAGTAGGGCCTTATACTGGGCTCTCCTTGAAGAATGAAAGAGATTCAGGCAGGTGGGAATGGGAGGTATTCCCAGGAGGGGCAACCGTGAGAACAGAGGCACAGAGAAAGGACAAGAAAGCTAAAGGTCTTCATTCCTGGCTGTTTATTGAACTTTGCAACTGGAATATTCCAAGACCACCATGCCAACCCTGCCTAGTTTCCCGGGTCTCCAGGACTCAGACCCAGACTGAGGGCCACGACTCCCAGGGGTTCCACCCTGCCCCCCCAGTCTCCTCACCTGGAAATTGGGGGTCACTGGGGATCTGTAAAGTGGTACTTCCCACTGCTCTGCCCCTCTGCAAGGGGTGAGGGTCAGCAACGAGGAGGGGAAAGGAAGGGCTTGGACACAGTGGCTGTGGGCACTCGGAGAAGTCTGTACTATTGGAGCCTCAGTGCCAGTCTGACCCATGGGCTCCCAATGAAGGTACCGAGGGACGCCTGAGTGGCTCAGTAAGTTAAGTGTCCGACTTTCAGTTTCAGCTCAGGTCATGATCTCAGGGTCATGAGATCGAGCCCTGTGTCGGGCTCTGCGCTCAGTGCAGAATCTGTTTGAGATTCTCTCCCGCTACTCTGCCCCTCCTGCTTGTGTTCATTCTCTAACTCTCTCTTTCAAATAAACGAATAAATATTTAAAAAAAAAAGGTACTGAGCATCCATTCAATAAGAATGGAATAATCCATGAAAACTGGGTAAATCAGGGTAAATCAGAGTGTATTCCCTCCTGCTTCACACCCTCAGCCCAGGATGTCATTCTGGAGCCAGAGGCAAATAGAAAGAAGGGGTCTCCCCAGGACCCAGAGAACTCTACTCAACATTCCCCAGGCGTGGGCCACCCTGGATAGACATCTTTAGACTCCAAGGTAGAGCCCACTTCGAAGTAGGAGAAGCATGTCTACAATACCCCCAGCTTCATCTTTCTCTAGATGTCCTTTAGCTTACCTTGTGAGGGGCAGACGAACACTGATGAGGCCAGAGCCTCTCCCCTCTGTACTCAAAGGGACACCAGAACCTGGCATTTCTGTTACTGACACAGTGTAACACGAAACGAAACAGAGATGAGGTCATTCCGCACCAAGAGGCAGGGAGGTCCAGCACAGAGCTGCCCCAGGAGGCCTGTACCACAGTCCCACTCAGACCTCCCTGCCCACCACGAGGTAGGGCCCTCTCCCATTTAAGCACCTGCCCTGGTTAGCGTATCTTCTACCCTCAACATTTTTTTTTAATTTTTTTTTAAATTTTTTTTAATTTATTTATGATAGTCACAGAGAGAGAGAGAGAGGCAGAGACACAGGCAGAGGGAGAAGCAGGCTCCATGCGCCGGGAGCCCGACATGGGATTCGATCCTGGGTCTCCAGGATCGCGCCCTGGGCCAAAGGCAGGCGCCAAACTGCTGCGCCACCCAGGGATCCCTACCCTCAACATTATATAAAAACCAATTTCCAGGGCACCTGGAGGCTCAGTCGATCAAGCGTCTGCCCAGAGTCCTGGATCATGCCCCACATCAGGCTCCCTGTTCCTCTGCCCCTCCCCACCCCTGCTCATTCTCTCTCTCTGTCTCAAAAAAGTAAATAAAATCTTTTAAAAAATAAAAAAATTGGGATGCCTGGGTGGCTCAGTGGTTGAGCGTCTGCCTTTGGCTCAGGTCATGATTCTTGGGTCCTGGGATCGAGCCCCACATCGGGCTCCCCATAGGGAGCCTGCTTCTCCCTCTGCCTTTGTCTCTGCCTCTCTCTTTCTCTGTGTCTCTCATGAATAAATAAAATCTTTTTTAAAAATAATTAAAATTTAAAAATTTTAAAAATGAAAAGCAATTTCCAGAGCTCTCTGCCAGGGCTAAGATCTCCCCACAGAAAACTCTGGAGGTGGGCATGGGGGCACGGAGGACAGAGTAGTGATCTCAGGGCCCATCCTCCATAAACACGCCCTGCATTTGAGACTTTCCAGGTCTCCGGCTTCCTGTCCACACTGCTTCCACGTGGCTGTTTGGCCACAAACCTCAACAGCCCTCAAGGCTCCCCTCTAGCTCTGCACATGCAGGAGGCCTGCTTGACTGCCCTGCCTCATGGGGATCTCTTCTTTCTGAGTTCCAGCAGCAAGTGGAGGCAGCGCCCCAGCAAGCCTTATGATATCCAAGCTTCTGTCCCACCCTATCCTGTCCTCTAAGGGCAGGAGCCAGGTACGGTGACCAATTCAACCCAGTTTGCCTAAGACTTTCCTGCTTTCAGCACCGAAGTCTGGCATCCCTGAGAACTCCTCAGTCCCGGGGAACCAGGATGGCTGGTCAGCAGCCCTAGCAGGTCATGTGACAAACATGTGCAAGTGAAGCCAATAGGACAGCAATGGCTTCTCACATAAAATGGGTCCTTCCGGGGTGCATGGATGGTTCAGTGGTTGAGTGTCTGCCTTTGACCCAGGTCGTGATCCTGAGGTCCTGGGATCGAGTCCCACATTGGGCTCCCCACAGAGAGCCTGCTTCTCCCTCTGCCTATGTCTCTGCCTCTCTCTGTGTGTCTCTCATGCATAAGTAAATAAAATCTTTTTTTTTTTTTTAATGGCTCCTTTCAGGTCCCCTCCGGCTCTCAAATCTGGGGACCTGGAAGCAAAGGAATTGCCTCCACCAAATGGTCATGGCCACAAATTTCTCATCTTCCCAGTCCTGAAAATGAGTCCTGCCTGGGTCCAGAAGAGGCCACTTATAGCAAAGATGGGCCAGTGAAGCAGAATCCTGGGTTGCCCCTCCTGAGGGCCCCATGATGGAGAGCCCTCAGCAGGCAAGCACCCACCATGAGTGACCCAGCCATCTGCCAAGTCACAGGGAAGGGGATCTCATATGCTTTTGAACTTGACATATCTTGGACAGCCCACCTGCCAGCTAAGCCCCAAGGTGCACCACAAGAACAGTGAGATTTCCTGGTTTCTTTCCTGAATACCTTAACTCTTTACTCAAATCCCAGGGCACATGGGCCCAAACCTGGCCCAGGTTTGGCATAGGTTCTGCAGTTTCTTGAAAAAAAGTGTGAAACCGAGATATACTTAACATGTGCTTCAGAGAACAGAGAGCCAACATTTCAAATGCCCAGCATTCAGAGGCACGGCTTTGTTTTTGCTTTGAAACCCATATTTGTAAAAAATGCTCTACATACAGCTGAGTTCAGCAAACCACAACCTGTGGACCAAATCTAGCCTGCTGCTTGTTAATAAACGTTTACGGGAGCACAGCCACACTCATTTGTTTACCTATAACTTTTTCATGCTCCAACAGAGTTGAGTAGTCTTGACAAAGTCCTCATGGCCCACAAAACCTAAAATATTAACTCTCTGGTCCTTTACAGAAAAAGTCGGCTAATCCACGCTATGTGGTGTGGGAGCTTGTCTCACTCATCTTTGGGCCCCTTGCTCTTTCCTGGGATCAGCTCTGAGCCCTGGGCCTGGGTTCCGAAGGAGAGTAGTCTACACCTGTGAACCGAATGAGCCAGTTGGTGTCCCCACCCTGTAGCCCCTACCCTGCCCCAGAGCCAACCTGAGCACACACTAACCATTCACCTGAACTGACAGCTGTTGATGGCACTCCATCCACAATGATTATGCCATTTGATACCTTAAAGCCTCATCAGGTAAATGGAGCAGCTAATTATGATCCCGTTTCACAGGTAAGGAACTGAAGCCCAAGAATTTACATACCAGAATAAAAACTTGGTCCCAGGACTCTTGGCCCTCACTCATCTCTCTCTGCTCTTGGACTTCGGTCTCCAAGCTCCTTTTTTCCTCCCAAATTCTCCCAAACCTCACCCCCACTCCCCAGGGAGCCTTTATTGAGAGCTGAGACGTGTAATGACCCCTGAGCCAGCCCTGAAAATGTGGAGGAAAAGACTCAGTTCTCATTCTCTGAGAATTAAAGACGCTTGCAGGAAATAACAGAAAACAAGTAGCAAGCTAAGCAAATATATTTACAGCAAAGGGTTAATTTCCATAGTAACTCAAAAGTCCACATGTTCAACTATCAGGACAGATAACAAGCTGAGTCACCAAGCATGGCCTCTCGCTGGTGGTATGACCTCAGAATCACTTCCCCCTTTCTACATCTCATGTGAAAAATAGAGGGGGACTGTACCTACCTCACAGGGCAAATGAGACCCTGGGTGTGATCCGATAAAATTCTGTGCCCACTTGAGAAGTTATGATTCATATAATTCCACAAACAAATTAAGCTAGACAGTGGGCTGGCATGCATGACTGCAAAAAGGGAGCCCCCACTTTCAGCTGATTTCTCAAGGTTTTAGCTCAAATAACAGTAATTGGAATTGCTGATGTTTGGAGATTTCACCCTCTGAAGAAGGATCATGGACTCACCTTTGGATTCTTGAGCTCCTCCAATACATAGTTGACATTATTCCAGCCATCAAAGGACCACAGGCCCTGGTAGAAGGCCATGCCGATGCGCCCGGCCTGCTGCGTGGTATTGTGGAAGGCAAACAGAAAGGCTTCCGTGTAGCCACGGCCCTGGCCCAGCACCACAGCCCCACCCCCCACGATGACCAGCAACGAGAATACTTTGGCAACCGTGCACACATTCATCAGCATGGTGGCCAGCCGCGAGCTCCAGCAGTTGACCAACATCAGCAGCAGGATGCAGATGGCAGCCACAGCCTTGAGCACGGCTTGGGGCATCGAGGAGCAGCCCGGGTAAAAGGGAGCCACTGCATACTCAGCAAAGCTCAGAGAGACAGCGGCAATGGCGGCTGGCCTGACCAACAGCACAAATGTGTAGATAACCAGGAAGGCTGGCAAGGAACCAAAGATTTGCAAGATATAGGCATACTCCCCGCCGGATTTGGGAACCAGGGCCCCCAGCTCAGCATAGCACAGGGCACCCATCATGGCCAGGAGACCACAGACTGCCCAGACCACGAGACTGGCCCCAGGACTGCCCACATAGACCAAGACCCCTTGTGGGGACATGAAGATGCCAGAGCCGATCATACAGCCAGCAATCAGGGACACAGCACTCCACAAGCCAATCTCCCTCCTCAGCCTTAGCCCCCCACCGTCTGGCTCCCATCCTGCCACCCCCTCACCACCATCTCTTTCCTGACTTCTCTCCATCTCAGGACTTCAATAGCTGTTGTGTCTAGTTGAGCAGAAGCAGATGCTCTGATAGGTAATTGTCTTGTGGGCTTCCTGCAGGAGTTAATGATTACACAATGCTTGGGGAAGGCTGAACCACAGACCAGACAATCAAGGCACGGCATTTAGAAGGGACTGAGCCTTCACTGATCTACCCGTCCCTGTCTGACTCACACTCCAGCATAGGCAATTTGCAGGAGCTATTTGCCAATGTAACCCAGGAAAGATCAAGAAAAGGAGAGAGGGATTTAGTAGAAATCCCTGCTGCTGCCCAATTCCACAACACTGTGTGTGGAATAACAGTTGGATGAGTGCTCTGTGCCAACAGTAAGAATGCTGAAAAACTGCACATCAGGAACCTAAAAAAAAAAAAAAATCTCTGCAGTAGTTTATTAGCCAAGCAATACAACCTCTATTTTATGAAGATTCCAATTAAAGTTTCATGAATCCTAAAAATAAAACAAAATTGCATGAATCCTGTTTTAAGAAAGAACTAAGATGGGATCCCTCGGTGGCGCAGCGGTTTAGCGCCTGCCTTTGGCCCAGGGTGTGATCCTGGAGACCCAGGATCGAATCCCACGTTGGGCTCCTGGTGCATGGAGCCAGCTTCTCCCTCTGCCTATGTCTCTGCCTCTCTCCCTCTCTCTCTCTGTGACTATCATAAATAAATAAAAATTAAAAAAAAAGAAAGAACTAAGATGATCAAAGAAGCGGATTCACATAGTGCAGAACAGAGTCTGTGCCCCTAGCAGGAAGGGAGCAGGTGGTTAAAAGTGAAGTAGAAGGTCTGGAATGGGATCCTGCGTTCAAATCCCAGCTCTAGTCCCTCACAGTTGTATGAACTCAGATGAGGTCTCTGAATCTCACCCTACTCATCTGTCAATTAATCACAGTATCCACCACACAGGGTTACTCTAAGGATTAAATAGCATAGTCCATTCAAAGTAGCTCGAATAGTAGATGAAATATAGCAGCAGGCTTTCCTTAAATGTTACTCATTACTATGTGGCAAAGAGTATCATTAGTTCCCTAGTTTCAAATATATATATATATTAATATATATGTTATAAAAATGAATATTATATATGTATATTTATTTAAATGCATATTTCATTGGTTTATAAATAATGTTCATTTTAGGATATAGTAGATAACTTTTTTGTTAACTTTCCCTTATATTTTTAAAATCTTGAGTTCTAGAACCTTTACCAGTGTTGTGATAGAAAGGTCAGTGAGGACCACCTGAGTGGCTTAGTCAGTTGAGTGTCTGCCTAAGGCTTGGGTCATGATCTCCAATTCTGGGGATTGGGCCCCATGTCCAGCTGCTCAGCGGAGAGTCTGCTGCTCCTTCTCCTTTTCCTTCTCCCTCTCCCTCTTGTTCTCTCTTTCTCTCTCTGTCAAGTAAATAAATAAAAGAAAGAAAGAAAGAAAGAAAGAAAGAAAGAAAGAAAGAAAGAAAGAAAGAAAATGTAGGGCCATTTTCATCAGAAGATCCTGAAGAGAGGGCTCTCCAAGATTCAGAAGGAAGTCCTTCAAGATTCCTACCCAGTAGGAAGAGAGAAGACAAGGCAGAGAAGTAATTAAGAAGAAAAGGAACTGGGGACGGCTGGGTGGCTCAGCGGTTGAGCATCTGCCTTCAGCTCAGGGCGTGATCCTGGGGCCCCGGAATTAAGTCCCACATCAGGCTCCCCACAGGGAGCCTGCGTCTCCCTCTGCCTGTGTCTCTGCCTCTGTGTGTGTGTGTGTGTGTGTCTCATGAATAAATAAATAAAATCTTAAAAAAAAAAAGAGCTAGAAGAATGAGGAAAAGAAGATAAGAAAGAGCAGAGTCCTGGAAGCTCAGGAAAGAAAATCAGCTTCCTTCCTGGCGATAGCTTATGTAACAAATAAAACACTCATATGGCAACCCCTTTCTTCTCCAGGAGCTATTGACAGCAGATACCAACTGCAGAGTCAGAGGACAGTCCAAAAGACCAGCCTCACATCTAACAGCAATGGAAAGTTTGGAGGTTCCCAAGACATCCTTATGTTCGATAATTTGCTATGAAGCTTCACAGAACTCACAAAAAGCTTTTTATACTCAAGTTATGTTTTATTACACTTAAAGGATCCAGATTAATGTCAGCCAAGGGAGGAAACACAGAGCGGAATCAAAGAGAATACAAACATAGAACCTCTGGTTCTTTTCTCCCTGTGGAGTCAGGACAGCATTATTCTCCAGGCATTAACATGTGACAATAAACACATCACATTGCCAACCAGGGAAGCTCACCAGAACCTTGGTGCCCACTCTTTATTGGGCTTCTATCACACAGACAGAGTTGACTGCTCATGTGGCTGGCTTCAGTTTCTAGACCCTCAGGAGATCAAGCTGATATTTCATGGCCCAAAGCCCTCATCCAAAAATCATATCATTACTATCTGGCTTGTCCAAGCCCCCCTGGCAAATAAAGACACTGCAATCAAGCATGGCATTCCAAAGGCTTAGGGATTACCTCCTTGAAGCTGAGGGCAAGGGCCAGACCTCTCTTTGGGCAAGGATAAATTCTTTACTACAGAGATGTAGAAGGACCTGAAGAACATTATGAGAACATAAAAATTGTTTTGAATAATTCATCTTATCAAGTAGTGTGTCTAAAGAGGAGGACCCTAAATGCCAGGCTAAGGAGCTTGAACCAGCCAGCAATGGAGGAAAGAGGACAATGAGTAGAAGCAGTGGGGAGGGCTTTCCTCAGGGCTCTTCCTAAATAGAAGGAACTAGAGACCCTGAAGTTGTATGGGCTTCAATGAACAATTCCTGCTGCCCTTCCAGAATCTGACAAGTATGGTCTCCAGCTCCAGAATCAAGCCTGCCTGTAAGAAAGGGACCTCTGAAGCAGAGCTGAGCCTTACATGGCATCCCTCTGCTGCTACCATGGGTGACAGGGTAGCTGATGGGCCCAGTCAGAGGCTCAGCCAAACACATATCTTAGGAATAAATTCAGCACCCAAGAGCTAGAGGACTAACTGTGTTTTACATCACTGTGCCTTCAATGAGATCTTTATTAGTTCCATTTCCCACTAGGAAAATGGGGCTAATGATCTCCCACAAAAGTGTTCATGAGAATAGACCAAAAGCCCTCATGTCCCATTATCCTGTGGAGAGGAAGGAGGTTATGTTAACTTCAGAGAAATAAAGGCTGAAATTTGCCAAATTTGATGAGTAAACATTAATTTACATGTCCAAGAAGTGCAACTCCAAATAGAATAAACTCAAAGAAATACACAGACACTTCATAATCAAACTATCAAAAGTCAGACCACGCAGCAAGAAAGAAGCAATTCATCTTGTACAAGTATGTGCGAGATTAACAGGTCATTTCTCATCAGAAATCATGGAGGCCAGAAGACAGTGAGATTGCATTTTCGAAGAGCTGCGGGGAGGCAGGGAGGTCAGCCAAGAATTCTATTTCCAGTAAAACTCTTCTTCAGGATAAAAAAGAAATGAAGAAATTCCCAGATAACCAAAATCTGAGACAGTTCATTTCTAGTAGACCTGCCCTCCAAGAAATGCTAAAGGGAGTCCTTCTGGCTGAAATGAAAGACCACAAAACAGTAACTCAAATCCACACAAATAAATAAAGAACATTGGTAAAAAGTATCGACATAGACAAATATAAAGATGGTATTAATGTATTTTTTGTCTTTACCTCCTCATTTTTCCTAATTAATTTATTTTTTAAAGATTTTATTTATTTGTGAGAGACAGAGAGCATATGCAGCAGGAAGAAGCAGAGGGAGAGGGAGCCTCCAGCAGACTCAACACTGAACACAAGCCTGATTCGGGGCTCCATCTCACAACCCCAAGATCATGACCTCAACTAAAACTAACAGTCAGGTGCTTAACCAACTATGACACCCAGGTGCCCCATTCCTATCTGATTTTTTTAAATTTTTAAAATTTATTTATGATAGTCACACAGAGAGAGAGAGAGAGGCAGAGACACAGGCAGAGGGAGAAGCAGGCTCCATGCAGGGAGCCCGACGTGGGATTTGATACAGGGTCTCCCGGATCGCGCTCTGGGCCAAAGGCAGGCGCCAAACCGCTGCACCACCCAGGGATCCCTCCTATCTGATTTAAAAGAAAACCACAGGGGCACCTGGGTGGCTCAGTGCTTGAGAGTCTGTCTTTGGCTCAGGTCATGATCCCAGGGTCCCTGGGAGAAGCCCTACATCAGGCTGCCTGCAGGATGATTTCTCTGTGTTTCTCATAATAAATAAATAAACTCTTAAAAATAAATAAATAAATAAATAAATAATAAATAAATAAATAAATAAATAAATAAGAACCACAAATACTGCTGGAGCACAGGATATCTCACATTACATATAAAAATTAGTTCAGAATGGATCAAAGTCCTAAATGTAAGCTCTAAAACTATAAAATTTAACAGGAAACATAGTTGCAAATCTTCATGACCTTAGATTGAACAATAGTTTCTCAAATATGCCACCAAAAGCATAAGCTACAAAGTGAAAACATATAGGACTTCATCAAAGTTTAAAACTTTTGTGCATCAGATGGTGTCAAAAAAGTGAAAAGAAAATCCACAGAAGGGCAGCCCTGGTGGCGCAGCGGTTTAGTGCTGCCTGCAGCCCTGGGTGTGATCCTGGAGACCCGGGATCGAGTCCCACGTCGGGCTCCCTGCATGGAGCCTGCTTCTCCCTCTGCCTGTGTCTCTGCCTCTTTCTCTCTCTGTGTCTCTCATGAATAGATAAATGGAATCTTTAAAACACACACACACACAATAGAATACCTCTTCAAAACCCCTAGGATGGCTATATTTGAAAAAAAGAAAATGTCAGATTTTAATGAGGACGTGGAGAAATATGAACCCTCCTACATTGCCATTAGAAATATAAAATGGGGGGCAGCCTGGGTGGCTCAGCAGTTTAGCGCCCCCTTCAGCCCAGGGCCTGATCCTGGAGACCGGGATTGA